CGGCTGGTATTTCAACTAAGCTTAACTTTTGAGCTTTCAAGTTTGTAAAGTTGTTCGAATGCAGCGCTAGGTGGCGCTGGCGACAAATTGAATTTTACATTGTCGCTGCTGAAATGCAGCCCTGATATTGATTGACTATTATATTTGAAAACTCAAATTCAAAATGGTGGCCAAACCGGAAATTAAAATACAATACAATGGGGCTATGCCATATGCTGTTTTAGCCAGTCGGCTTTCAATGGAGAGCATGCGAACCTTTGCCAAAGAGCATGCCAACCCACAGAGAAATTCAAATAAGTTTTGATACCAACAAAAAAATGTTTATTTCGCCATAATATTGTGTCGGAAAATGTATACATAATTGTTTTTCGTTTTTTTTTGTTTGTATTTTTTTTTTGTTATTTTGTAAGCAAATTAATGGATGGTATCGGCCTGTTGTTAAATATTTTTGGAATTAGCCTGCTTTATTTGCTTGTTTTTTTTTTGTATATGTATTTTTCTTTTGGTTATATTTAGTTGTTGTCTTAGATTCTGGATAGATAAAATGCAGCTGGGGGTTCGAAGAACAAAGTTCAGTAAAAAGGGTTACAGTGTACAGGCTTTGTTTTTTATCCGAAAAGTACAATTTTGGTGTAAAAAATTGGGCTGTGGCTTAGGGTTTGGAGGGGGTCATATAGATAAGCTCTGGTATTTGGGGGAGGTGTGGGGTTGGGACTCGTTCTATTGGCTGCAGAGGCTGCGTAGGTGGAACTACTCGAAAATTGGTATCGTACTTTATTGGTACATTAGAGATAGTCATACATACATATGTATGTATGCATGTATGTACGTATGTACATATATTCTTTATTTATTTATTTTTTATTTTGTATTCAATGAGTGAGTGGGTGTGGGTGTGTGGTAGATGTGTGCGTGTGGTTGGGGGTATGTATGTGTTTTTTTGCTGTTTGTGTAGAGATCTAAGTTAATATGCCAATGCTGCAGAGCCAAATTCCAATCCGTATTCAAAATGATCTAACAACGTTCACGACTTTCCCAGCGACCGACCAATTACCATCATTTTATTTGATTTTTAATAATATGATGCCACGTTCTCAATATACAAAATGTCTTTACGGAATATCGAAATCGAATATCGAAATAATTAATTTTTTAAATCTTTAACTGGTAATCGTAATGCGGTAATTTTGTTTTGTTTCGCTTTGAGTTTTTTAGTTTTATATGTATGTAATTTGTATGTAATTTTTCCGCCTTTCCCATTTTTTTTTTAATGCTACTATTTCAATTTCGCCCCATTCTCGTAATCTTAAGTAAAATTGAATCAAATTCCTCAGTGCTTGCAGTGCATATCGTACTTAGTAATTCCTTTTTTTTTCTTTGTTTTTTTTTTTTTAGTTTTTCTTTGTATGCAGTTTGTATTTGTATGTTTTTTTTTTGTTTTTATTTATTTGTTGCTCCTCGCTACTTCCAAAAAAAAATAGATATATATATATATTGGTATATATATTCGTATATATTGTATATGGGTATATATATATATGTATATGTATATAAGTTTTGTATAATATATATGTATATACACATATTTATTTATTTAGTTTAGTTTAGGATTATTTTGTATGTTGTGTATTGTATTGTAGGTTGTTTTTGTTTTTTTGTTTTGTTTTTTTGTTTTTTTGTTTTGTTTTGTTTTTTGTTTTGTTTTGTTTTGTAATTTACAGTGCTTCTCAGTGGCCATTAAGTGGATAGGATTTTGTTCGAAGCACAAATTAACAATTAAGCAGTTTAGAACTCTTCGATAGAAATACTTTTCAGACTTGCAATCATAGATCATATAAATATAAATATAAATACACGATAAATATACATTAAGGGGGGGGGACTCTCTTCCATTCCTTTGACTATCGCTTCGATGTGGGTAGCTCAGTGTCTGTCAGAGGAAACTTCATAAATGAAATGAGTAAATCAAATGAAAAACGAAATGGAAAATAGGTCAGGGGGTGGGGAGTAGGTGAGAAATCAGTTAAGTAAAGTAAAGTAAAATGTATTGAATCCTTTGTACAAGTGGGTTTGTACAAAATAAATAACATGTCATCTCATCACATCTCATACAATATACAATAATAAGTATGTATGTATGTATGTGTGTATGTTTTGTATATATTCTGCTTTATTATTATATTTATCATTATATTATAGTAGTTGTAACTCGTACAGTTAGGCATATCATTAAGGTATATCTGTTCCTGCGTCTGCATCTGCTTAGGCCCCGCTCATTCGGTTACTGTCACATCATCATCATCATCATCATCATCATCAACAACAACATCATTCATTCTCATTCATAATCATTCAGCATTCATCATTCATCATTCGTCATTCATCAACATTTTTGATCAGTTTTATTTTATTTTGATCCGTTACTTTGATCGCTTTTCGGTTGCCTTACTTGCTAGGTTTTTTTCATAAGACTTGCGTTTTCATGGGTTTTGTTTCTCCATTATTCATCGTTTTGTTTCAAAAATTTCACTTATATGAATAGAAAAAAATATATATATGTATACATATAATCTATATATATATATATAGCTTCTCTATATAGTTGTTATATACACATCATGCAGTTTAAATTCCACTCCATTATCCTGTATATGTATGTATGTATCTTTTTATGTGTGTGTCTGCATCTGTGCATCTGTGTGTATTATGTGTATTATGTCTGTGTGTGTGTGTGTTTTGTTGTTGTTCGTTTCGTGGCTTGTGTGTCTTTGTATTTGTTTTGTTTTGTTTTTGTATTTCAACTCTACAAAATGCACGAAAATATATTCTTAGTTTTGGCTTGGACCCAGTAGTTCTACTCCTCGAACCGCTGCCGTGAAAGTATCGATCGTAGCAACGATCGAATGCCCTTTCCCGCATGGCATTTGCCTTCAGCTCGTGAGAGTTTCAGTATTTAGCACACATCTAGGTAGCGCTCACTCCCTACTCATCCTCCTCCTTCTCTGCCTCTTATCCTGTACACTATATTCGCCTCCCACTCCTACTCCTACTCCTTCTACCTTCCTCCTTATCCTCCAACTACAATTTCATCTTTATTTTCTTACAGACGAATGCCTATGTGGAAAATTATAACCCTCAGTTAGGGTAGGGTTAGCAAATGTCTCTACACTCTACTCTCTACACTCCTGTCCCGTCCTTCCTATCCGCCTTCCTTACGTCCTTCCTTTTTGCTAATACTCTAGATTGTCATTTGCTAAATATTCCTTACTCGACTTGACTTGACTTTGACTTTGACTTGACTTGCGTGGCTCCTAGAGTACACTCTAAAATATATATTCCGCGTTGCCTTCACACCGGTCGACTCAGCGGCGGTTTGTGGTTCAAGTTTCGGGTGGACGACTTACTGGGCATATGGACTGCGTAACCCTCCGCGAAACCGGAGCCCAAATCGCACTGCTTCTCAGTCGACCGCGTTCCGCATGAGATGTGTATTTGGGTATTGTTATTGGTATTGGTATTGGTATTGATGTTTGTTTGCCTGTGTGTATACCATAATATACCTACATATGTATGTGAAATCCAAAACTCTACAAACTACACTCGGTTAAACAAGCAACCATGGGGCAAAATGCACACGTTGCCTGGCCCCGTTTGCACTCAATAGGTGAGAGCTGGGTGTGTGGGGTTAGGGGTTGTGGCAACGATGCATTTTGTCAGGTCTTGTGAAAGTATTTTACCCTACTAAAACGTGCTCGTGCCTTTAGCCAACATCTAACTATCCATGGATGGTGAGATTTACCCATTTATCATTTATCATTTATTTATTATTATTATTAGTTATAGTTAATTATATTTAAAGAGATTTTCCCCTTAGCCAAAAAATGGGAGAATTATAGTAGAATTTTGAAAACGTAATTGACATCCGAATGCGTCACGACTACTGGAAGCTACTGCAAAAAAAAATATATATATAAAAAAAAAAATATAGGAAGAGTAGTAATCGATCTACAGTACATATGTACATATGTATCTTTATGTGTTGGTGTGTGTGTGTGGGTGGTGTGTGTGTGTGTGTGTAGATATATATTGATCTGATTAATGGCTATATAATATATATTGGTATCTTTGATAAATAACTTCTTTTCTTTTTTGTTTTTGTTTTTGTTTTGTTGAATAAAATATGCATTGAGTAGGTATTATATATGCACTACATAGATATGATTTATATGTATATTGGTTATAAATATGCAGTGTCCTAAACTACGCAATTAATTTACTAAAGTTTCCTTGTGTTTCCTTTGTTCTAGTTGTGTGTCGCTAAAGAATAAAGCATATACGAGTTGGATAGGATACCAGGGCCCTGTTCTCAATTTTAAGTGCGCAAATCCTTTGTTGTTTCGCACAAATCAAATTGAGTCAAAGGCTCATTTATGTCTTTAAAGGCTCTTCTTTCCCCCCCAGCACACTCTGTGTACTTTCTTCTGTCCTGCTTTAGTTAGCAGCATTCATTTGGGGGGAAAGTCCAGCCCGAAATGCTGTTGGGCGATAGCTAAGAGAGAGTCTAAGACCTAAGCGTTGTGTGGGTTGTGCATTCAAAAGTGTGCATTGGGACTGAACTACATAATGTATCATTAATAAAAAGTAGTAAGTAACTCTATAAGAAAGCAATGTCTGTCTGTTTGTCTGTCTGTGTGATGTTTTTGAGTGAGAGCAGATACTCAGATATTGTCTGCTTAGTAGAGCTTCTCTCTTTTAGACTCAAACTACTGTTAATGCTGCTGTTGCTTTTTCTGCATTCAACTCGGTGCCGTCCACAACTTGCGTCGCGGAGTCTCGGACGAGAGATTCATAAAATTTGCGGTTTTTTTTTATGGTTGCCTTAATTTCTATGTATAATTTTTCAAAAGAATATTATTAAATATATCTATGTATAATATATTTTCGAATACACATCAATATATGAATATAATATGTCGATTATTTATTGTGTCTGTGTGTCTGTGTGTGTGTGTGTGTGTGTGTGTGAGGGTGTGTGAGTTTGTGAGTGTGGAGTCTGTGGGGTATTTTGCATTCGATTATTAAATTTGTATTTACACAGCAAATGCCTTTGCATACAATAATAATATCATTATTCCTCCATTGCATTCTACGTTCTCCTCTCCACTCACCAATAATATTGGAGCTGCCTTCCATTACCTCGTTTCAATTAAATTTAGATATCACAATATAATCATTAATTAATTAATTAATATAAAATTATTAATCGATTTCTTAAGTGACAAAACAAATAAAAATTTCGAATTTCGAATTTGCCAATTTTCTCTCTCAAAGTTGTTGTTGTTGTTTGATTTAATTTTAGTATTACATTTAATTTAATTTTAAGAATAAAGTAATTTTTGTTTGTTTGTTTGTTTGTTTTAATTTTAAATTCAAAGTGAACAAATAGCCTAAAAACTTTGCAACTTTTCTTTGATTTCCATGCCATTTCCATTTCCATTACCTTTGCCTTTTTTGCATTTGCATTTGCATGTGCTTGTGGTTTTTGGTATTGGTTTTTTTTTCGTTTTTGTTTTTGTTGTGTTTTTTTTTTGTTTACTTGAATAAATTATTGAATAGTTTTGCTACGTAATGCTTTTGTTGTTGTTGTTTTTTGTTTGCTTAGTTAATAATAAATATATATGTAATGTATTTGTTCGATTTTATCCGATTACTTGCTAACAAAAAAAAAAAAAAAAAAAAAATTGGTTTGGGTTAAGATTACGTGGATGTTCTCCCAAAGAGAACCCTTTTCGTTAGAGAATCCCGTCTTCTGTGTCAGCGAGCGGCCTTTCCTTTTTAGATTCTGGTCTGCACCTCCAAATGCATGAAACGCTCCTGACCTGAGGAGGATCAGTTTAGTTTAGGTTCAGGATCAGGTCCGAAGCGTCGTTGATGGAATGTTGTTGTTTGTGTTTATGTTTGTGTTTGTGTTTGTATTAGAGTAGACAGATGATAGTTTATTGAGAGTATATCCGTTTCACAGTTGTGAGATTTTGGTTTGTTGTCGGTTGTTGGCAGAGAAAGGAGAAATTGTCAGTGTTAAAATCAGTGTTCAATGATGTTCATCTGGTTGGGTATCTGTCTAGTCTGATTTAGCCACACGCTAAAAGCAGGGTCATGTGGGGTTTGGGTTGTTTTTTGTGGTATGTATCTACTGGGATCTCCGATACAGTCTAGCGTTGGCTCTACATGGGGGATGCCGGCGGCGGCCAGACAATGATGATGGTGCTGCTGCTATCCTTCACATCCTCATCCTCATCTTCATCCTCCGGCTCATCGTTAGCCGTTGGCGCATCCTCATTCTTACTTTCCAAATATGTGGCTATCTCGTTGGCATTCCGATTGAAGGCCACCATCATGGGGGTATTGCCTTCGGCATTGCGTGCCTGCAAACTTGCCCCAGCGGCCACCAGCATCACGCAGAGCTCCCTGCGAGTTGTATCAGCGGCGATATGTAAAGCAGTTTGTCCGCTACAAAAACCAAAAACAAAAACAAAAATAATGATTAGTTTTGGCTGAGTTTCACAACTACATATGTATAGGGACAGTTGTCTGCTGGCTGTCTCTGCATTACTTACTGGTCCTTGTCGGGCATATTGATGACGCGTTTTGTGGCACATGAGATGATATATTTCACAATGTCCTTATGGTTGTATTTGCAAGCAAAGTGCAGGGCCGTCTCTCCGTTCTTATTCACTGACTGCAATGAGTATCCTTGTTCATGTAGTGCACGTAACTGTAAGGGAATAAGCCGCCCATGGGCCAGTGAGTAAAGGCGTACAATTGGCACAATGAATGGGAGCAGGAGGAGGGCTGCTACACATATACATATATAGGGTTTTGAATAGATATAAATATATATAGTTAGTCTACCATATTGAGATCACCGCTTTGGGCTGCTAGTAGTATGGCATCGGAAGTTTGTTCCAGTATAGGGCTGTTATTCATTCATAAATAAATATATTCATGGGCAGTATGGGCAGTGTGCATTTTGTGTGTGCATAAAAGAGTAGAGAGAGAGAGAGAGAGAAGAAAATTCAAGCATCAGTTTTGTTTTGATTTGAAGTTGCCATTGAATCGATTCGTTGTTGACACACAAATATCATTTATCATTTATCGCCACGATATAATGGATATAGTACACAGTAGTAGAAGGCCACAAGACAGACATTTAGGTAATAGAAGATACACAAAAAAAAAAAAAAAATACAAATTAAAGAATAGATAATCGAGTAACTGGAATAGATATGTATGTACAGGAGTGAATACCTGAATCCATAACCAAAAACATCTTCGTTGAAACTGAATAAACGATCTTTGTTGCTGCATGCACAGAAATTAATTAATGCAAATTAATTAAGTAACAAAAACAACAAAAAGAACAACAAATGTGGGACACAAAGTTGGACACAAAAAGCAGCCGGAAATGAGCGGGAGCGCGGGAGGCGGAAGCGAGCGAATAAAAGCGAGATGGCATCTCTGTGAATAATGCCAATTGGATAGAGATGGCGATAGCGAATGGGATTAAATCGATTTACGATTTACGATCTACGATTTGATTTGATTTCGTTTTGGTTTGTTTTCGTTTTTGTTGTCGTTTTTGATAGTGCCATCTCGCTCGTTTTGACATCAGCTGTTTGATTGAATGGGCACAAATGATTAATCGAAATGCTGAATCGATGGAGAAGACGTTGGTGAGGGAATGCTTCGCTTCGTTTTTACCTCTTCCATTTCATCACTTTGATGGGCTTGGAGCCAATTTGTAAATCCTCGTCTTTGAGTGGAGTTGGAATTTATGTAGGTTTAGGTATCGATAAGCAGATATCGATGGAAAGAGTTGTAGAAATTGTTAGTACAGACATTTAACAAGGTGACAAACAATCAAATCATCAATCCAAATATAATTGTTAAAATACTTAAAGCAAAATGTTTCAACGATAACTAGTTCAAACAGTTAATCGATTATTAGTCGAACGCATATCGATATCAACCAATACGATATGTGTATGGATAGTTATAGATTAGAGTTCAAACGGATATCGGTGATCGAATATCCACTACCAGAGAGGAGGAGGAGCCATATGTATGTATAACCTACCCTTGGGGGTTCTTTGTGTGTGGTTTCTAGTTTATATACATATATGTGGATATTTTTGGGGATATCTTGATCGAAGTTATCGATACATGTATATCGAAGGTATATCGATATATGTATATCGAAGGTATATCGAAGGTATATCGAAGGTATATCGAAGGTATATCGAAGGTGGTGTGGAGACGGAGACCGGAATACGGTTTGGTCCTTGCTACGGTTAACTGTTAATGTAAGCCGGGATTATATACCAAATCGTAAGTAATTATAATCGATTGATCAAGATCAAGAGATTGCTACGTATTTAATGCTCTACTTACATGCTATTTGTGGCAAGGACTAAGCTGTATTCGGGTTCCTTCAGAACATTGAAGACATATCTTCAGATGTTACGAGTGGGTGTATCAGGTTTTTGGGTGTGGCTGTGTTTGCTCTGTTCTTTGTTTGGTTTTTTTTTGGTTTTTTTCAGTGGGTTAGTGGCCAAACGTGCAACAAAGACAACGAAATGGAGTAGAAGGTAGGGGTACAGTGGTCAAGGGGCCTGGGGCTAGGGGGCATCTCTCGCATCCGTATGCTCAAAGCTGGAAGCGCTTCTTGCGAAAATGTAGATGGCAGAACATGCGTCTATCAAGAAACGGCAGCTGAGCGGCCACCTCACGCTGGTAGAGCTCCAGCCGCTCTTGCAGCGGTAGCTCATCAACACTGTTGGCCACACCAGTGGTATTGGTAGTGATTGGCTGTTGTTGCTGCTTTGATGGCCAGCAGGCAGATAACAGAAGAAGCCTACCGGTGCTGCCTGGTGCATGGCCCTGGGCCTGGTCCATCTGTCTGCGCTCTGTCTGTGCCTGACGCTGCGAGAATGCGGCAAAGGAGCGTTCTTGGTCGGGTGTTTGGGGCATGGTGGCTAATTCGTGATCCAGTATGAGTAGGTCGTCAATGGCGATGTCACAGATGTAGTGTAAATGTTCCTGCGCCCTGTCGATGCGGAAGTAGTGCTCTGCAGTGCAGGCTTTCCAATCCAAAACAAAACAAATAAGAGATAGAGAGAGAGAGAAAAGTTATAGATATTTGTTGGAGTGTGCCAGGAAGTGCTACACCACTTACCGTCTACGAAACACCAGTCCTGCGATACCTTCGGATAGGTGATGGACTCTTCGAATTTGGCATTGAGCATGTTGCGGACATGATCCAGATCGCATTGTGAGTCGATCTCGATCTGGCCGAGCTTGTTCGCCAGCTTACTGAGCATCTCCCTTTGGTAGTGGTATTGCTCATACTGCTGCATCGTAATGCGCAGTATATTCAATTGAAGCTTCTCCAGGGGATTTACTCTGTGATTAGAGAAGGGTTTAGTGGTGGACAGGCCGCGTCCGTTGGATATCACTCACTGGACATCGCCACGTCCATTCTTGCACTTGGACAGCATCAACGCCTTATTCAACAGCTCGATCTCAATGATCGATGGCTTCACCCGACACGCCTCACCATCCACCTGCATCGGTATGGTGCGCTTGGTGATTATGCGCGCCTTCCGGCACTGGCAGATGCAGGTGCCATGCATGCCCGCCTGCAGCATCGGCAGCTGGTAGGTGGTCAGGCCCACCACCTCCATCAGGCCGTCGTCGATGGTGGGCTTTGTCGCCCCAAACGAATCGTTCCACGGATGGGTGCCGCCGCCATAGCTGCGGAAAGGAAAGTGTTTAGATCAATGCCAACTCAAAAATCTATAGCTCAATTCCCTTTCGCACCTGGGTATGTTCAGGAAGAGGACGGCATGGCAGCCGGCGTCCCGCAGCTTGTGGGTGAAGTCATTGCCATCGCACTCGAGGGTCACCCACTGGGAGAGGTTGCGGTACTGGCGCAGAATCAGATCCTTGCCGCCCATCTGGCCGTAGTACATCTTGTTGCGGAGTCGCGAATTGAAGCGCTCCGGATGGGCCTCGCGCGCCTCGTGGAACTCGAGCGCGATGTGGGCATCCACCCCGAACGAGAAGTAGTTGTTGATCACGTTCAGGGGCACGTTCGCCTTGCTGCGGTCCATGTGATCGTCGCAGACATCATCGTTGGGCGAGACCTTGACGCGCCAGCGGTCCATGAGGACGCACTGCGACATGCCAATTTCGCGCAGTATTTTGCCCACCGGTTCGTCCGTGTAGCCCTGACAGGAGAAATACTATAAGGACAGTGCAATCGAGGGTATCACTGGGCATATAGTGCTTACCCCGCCCCATCCAAGAGCGCGTGCGAGATCGTTGCCCGTACCCAATGGCAGCACACCGACGGCCGGGCACGGCGACAATGGTGGATGGATCTGATCGAGGACGGACAACACCCAGCCGACGGTGCCATCGCCGCCACAGGCCAACACCCGGAGATTCGGTGCCTTGCGGAACATTTCCAGACTTGGTATGGTGTGTGGGGGCGGGGGCGAGGGCGGGGGCGGGAGAGGAATGAGAATGGAAACAAAATGAGACAATTAGATACAGATTTAAATGAATGAAAGACTAAAGCTATAGCAATACTATCTTCCCCAACAAAGCGCTCCAAAATGCTGTAAGTCAATACGCGTAGAATGGGGCGTGAAATCTATCGATTTGGGGGTGGCACACACACATGAAATATCAACAAAGATAATGCCTTAAATTAAAGCTAGCATACAAATGATGTTGGGAATTATGTTAACTTGATAACTGATAACTTAAGTTAATTATTCAGCTATTTATCGCTCCTTTAGCAAGAGAGCGGCACTAGGCACTAGGCAAACATATATGCTACCCAAAAGTATCCATAATAATGCTCTCATTCTCTTGGTTAGAATATCTGAAAGACTCCAGCAAATAAGGCACGTAATAAGACGCAGAAATATGTGCACTGCTGCTGCCATAATAAATATCATAAATATTCAGTTGGCACAGGCATAGCCTAAGCTCTCCATTCTCTTCGTTTCAATTTGTTCTGACACGTTCATCATCTGCAGATCATCTATGCTATATGGTACATAGGCATCTACTATTTAACTATTCCCTATTCGAGTGCCACACTCCCTTCGTTATTTCCTATCAAATATTTGCCTTTAATTAGGTTTAATCGGAGCATATAACCTGCCATCTTATGCAACGCTTTCTAAACAAAGTTCTGCTCTTTCCAGCAACTCCCTAAATAAAATGCTATGTGCCCAAAGGTTTTTGTGTGCCCTGTAAAAAACCTTTTGTGGAATTACTTACCCCATTTTGGGACCACCCTGGGTCAGATCAAACACCTGGCGGGGATTGAGTAGATGCTGGAACTTGCCGAGTAGCTTGACGCCCTGATTGCCACCGGACTTGGGATTAATAAACACAATGACCGGTATTACCTCCGGCGATGGAATGGGCTTCACGATGAACGCACGCGGCTCTCCCTTCTTCTCGTCCTTGCCCCGCTGCCGGCGCATCGTCTGTTTCTTGCCCTTGCCGCCAGGGCCACCAGGGCCGCCAGGTCCGCCAGGTCCACCAGGGCCGCCGGGTGCGCCAGCCGCAGTGCCACCGCCGCCGGCTCCAGCAGCGGCGGAGCCAGTGGCACTGTTCTTGTTGCTCACCCGAATGGAGGACTTGAAGTTGCCCTTGTTCGGCAGCTTGACAATCCACGATGGCGGCACAATAATCGGTGCATAGTTGCCTGCAGAGCAGAGAGAGAGAGAGAGAGAGAGAGGGAGAGAGTGTAAGCAAAGATGGATGGATGTTCGTTTGGGTTATAGGCCCAGGTCCAGGCCCAGGTCCAGGCCCTTGGCCGGGGCTAATTGAGTGGAAAGTGCTTGAGGATTGCCAAGCAACTAAATTCAATTTTCCTTTGCCATGCCCTTGCATGAGACAGCAGTAGCAGTAGCAGCAGCAGCAGTAGAAGCAGCAGCGATGGTAAGCCCCAGCATAAGCGACATACCAAAGAGCAATTATGAATGCCACAGCCACAGAGAGTGGCCAGTGGGGCATAAAGGCCACACAACAGCAGCAGAGGCAGCAGCAGAGGCAGCAGCAGAGGCAGAGACAGAGAGTTCCGTGCCTGTGTGGCAGTGGCAGTGGCAACCCACTCTCCGGCGTAATTGTTTTTATTTTTTTTTCCTTCTCTTTTTGTGCGTTGTCTTGACTCCATCTTCGTGGGGCAGTGCCATTGGCAGTGTCTATGGTGTATGGTGTATGGGGCAAGTGTGCATAATGGGGTGGGGAGGGGTGCCTGCCACACGGAGAGTGTGTTAACAAGACGCTCATTGAGACACTTTATGGTGGTGGGATGTGCGAGTATTTCAAGGTGAAAGCCTTGCCAGGACTCCCGTCTTTGGCTCGACTTTAACTTAAATAAAGTCTTGGATCTGGTATCCTGCCTGGCCGAAGTAGCCTTCTTCCTTTGACAAGTTAAACGAGGTTAAGTCCTGCTGCCCTGCCCTGCCCTGCCCTGCTCTGAAACTAAGCCACAGGCAAAGGCCAAACTTAAACAAGCAAATGGTTTAGCCCACATTTGACAGAATGAAGTTGGGGTTGAGATATTACCAACAGCACCACCTGCTCTACGATTATAAATACATACATATGTAAATATTTATGATGCAAAAAGGATATAGAAAATCCACAAGATTCAAGCTACTTGCAGTTATCTGTGTGGGTGTGGGTGTGTGTGTGTGCGTGTTTTAATTTTTACATTCCTGAAAGATACAATTTTAATATTGCATAATGAGATTAAAAACAAAACAAAAATGGGAAAAAAACTAAAAGAAAAAAGAGCACAACAATCCAAGCGAATTCTGGAGCAAAAACGGATACAAAAATCCTGCAATTAAGACACAAATTTCAGTTGGTTTTTTTGCTAGAGAATTTCTAGCGTATGATTGCGAAAGATAAGTGCACAGAAGAATGCCTCCAAGCGCCTCCATAAGTGTCCATGAAGTGAGGATAAATAGTTGTGGAAAGTCCAGCCAAATCTATCAATGTTCAGCGAGCTGTCAAGTAGAACGAACTACTGGGCGCATTAAATAAATACAAATGCCACAATCAATTATCATTTGCCCGGGCAAAGGGCTGGCAAAAGAAACCCAAAAAGGGTTACGTTCCAGTTTGGCAGTTGGAGTTCTTTTTTTGCGGCTAGGTTAGGCATTCGGTTTTAATGCACACATTTTAATTAAGTTAACGGACCGCAATCTATTTGCATGCACGTCACGTAATTAATCAAAGGACAAGGGGCAGGAGGCCGTCGAAATATATTATGGGGGGTGTGGGGGGTGGGCAAAAGCACGAAAAAGCAGCAGCAGGAAAATACAAAACACGGGGGCTACAGGGGGCTACAGGGGGATACAGAAACAGATGCAGATACAGATACAGATACAGATAAACTTACCGAGACGACACTCTTCGCCAATTTTCTCCTGATTGAAGCACGTGTCCTTGTTGTGATAGATCTCATGACACCAGGCACAGGACAAAGCTACAATTTCTTTGGAGCCAAATAGCTTGCTCTGAACCGCCTGCGGTATGGATTCAAACATAATATTCTAATTTGAATAGTTAGGGGAGCAACTCTACTAAAATGCGGGAATACCAACCTTGCCGCACTGCTTGCACTTCCCCTTCTCCATCTTGCGGTGCACCCAATGATGATGGGTGGTCGTCTGCTCCCGATACTGCCTGATGCCCACATCCCGATACGTGGGCTTGCACAGCAGCGTCGGCTTCTCGTTCACATACGGAATGCAATTGATGTGGGCCACCAGCTGGCACGCGGAGCACTTCAAACGTTGGCCGCTCTTCTGTAAATGGCCAACAAAATTGAGTACTTTATCTTTTTATACATATATTTACTGGGGGTTAGGGGTTTCGTGTCCATCCAAGTGAAAACAAACCCACTAAAAACCTTTGACAAACCTTCCATAAACATTGGGGATTAATTGTTTTGCCTCCATCCTCCGGCTTAACTTTGGCTCTAAGTACTTTTTCCTAACATAAGTCTTTCTATAACTTCTACATGTCAACGGAATAATCCTTTTCCTAGTATAATTCCCAGCCAAAAACTAACTTTTCATCACATTGTTAGATAGTGAAATAAAATCAACGTAAGCCTAATCCATGTGTTTATTTGTGGTTTTTGCTGATGTCTAAATTTGAATGAATTCCACACCAAAAATTATACCCACCCACAGACAGACCAGACAGAGCAGACAGGCAGACCAGACAGACAGAACTCTCCTTTAAATGGCAGATTGAGATAAGACAGAGGGGCTGAGCTCTCCAAGCTTCTTCACCTGCTATCCCCCCACTGCTGGCCGGACAATGAGCCCCGAGATAAAGTACATTTTTGTTACATTTTGGCAGCTGCTGTCCTCCGGCCAGGACATGCGGGCTGATGTCACGCCTCCTACTGGAAATGGGTGGGGGGGGGGGAAATGAGCCTTTCCATGGGGCTTTCCAGATATTGCGTGAATGTTAGACAGGCACGCAATAAATAAATTACGCACACATGTACACATACATGAGTCTCCCCCCCCGTAATTGAATTGAGCCCAGACCCCACCCACTTAGCCCACTTATCCCTTATTTGCTGAAAAGAGGAGAGAGAGAGAGAAGGGAGGATTCGTACCGTACTCACAATGCACTCCTCGTTGAGGCAACAGAGATCGCCAGAGGCCGACGAGGTCTTCCAGTAGTGTTCGCCATTAATCGCATTCTCTGTCCAATCGGGCACAATGCGTATGGGCCGACGGGCATTGCTACCTGTAGCGGTGCGCCTGCTTGAAAGATACAAACAAATTAAAGGATAAGGAAATTTGCTGCCAGCAACTAAGGATATTCCAAGGGTTAGCATCTCTATGATGTATGATAGTATGTGTTCATTGGGTGTGTGTGTGTGTGTTTTTGGGCACTTTATAAGCACTGAGAATGGCAGGCAGCCAGCAGGCATCTCACCTCTTGCGTCGCCACGCCCCCAGCGAGTCGAGCTTCCTTTGACGAAATGCCGACTTTCGTTGCATTCCAATTGAGGAGCGTCGAAAGCGACGTATTGTACCCCCTGCTGCACCCGCACCCGCACCAGTTACCCCTCCTGCACCAGCAGCTGTCTCCGTCCATGCAAGCATGGGCATGCCCGTTACCGTTTCAAAGCTGTCACTGCGCTGCAGCTTACGCCGTGCTGCCTTCTGCTGCAGCAGTGACTGCGGCAGTGGCAGCGACTGAGACAGCGGCTGGCTGCTGTCGGTAAATGCTCCTGCTGCTGCTGCTCCTTCTGCTGCTGCTGCTGAGGTGCTGCTGTCGCAGTCGCTGTTCTCCGTGTCACCTTCTGCCTCTCCCGCTTGCGCTTCCGCTTCGTTTTCGTTTTCGTCTTCGGTTGGAAATTCCTCACGCACTGCATGCAGTAGCCGCTCCATTCCCCACACCCGCTGCTCTGCTGTTGGACTGCTGCAATTACAGTTGCTGCTGGCTGCGCTGGCGCTGGCGTTGGCGTTGGCGTTAGGGCTGTCGCAGTTCAAATAAGATATGAACATGGCACAACTGCTTCTCTGCTTCCCTGCTCGTTATTCAGCTGCTCTGTCTTCTCCTCCTCTGCCTGCTCTTCTTCTTGTGTGCGTTTGTGTGTGTGTGCGCTCTCTTGGCAAACGCTTTACATTTCACTTCACTTCATTACACACTCCACGCCACGCCACGCCACTCCACTCCGCTCTCTTTTGCTATGATTTCTGTCTGTCTCTGTTTTGGCACCTGCCTGCTCCTACGCTGCTGCTGCTGCTTCTGCTGCTTCTGCTGCTGCCGAATCACTCTCGAATGCGATTTGAATACCGTTTTTCAAGGGTTTTGTGACTGCGATTCGTTTGCTGATTTCGCCGTTAATTTCGCTGCTGCTGCTGCTGCTGCTGTTGATTCCACGGCTGTCATTATGGCGCATAAAGATTTCGACCGGAGATTTTGTTTTGCTTTCGCCTTGTTAATATACACTTTCACTCCCTTCCGGCTTACAGGGTTTTCCCGCTTTCTGATACGTTTTATTTGTTTGACTGAGTGTTTCCATCTACTTGATTAGGATTTATGTTTATCATATTATTATTTTTTCACGAGAGAGAAAGACCGTTGCGAAAGGCAAAACTGTGCTGCAAAATATTCTCATTATTTTTGTTTTACATTTTCCATCATTTGCAGAAGGTTATTTAAATATGAAACTGTCTTAAATACTTTGGAAATTCTATAAAAGAAACTCAGCTTATAGAGGCTCAATTTACATCGGTCTATACATAAGCATGTACATATTTAGTATGTGCATATATACATATGCACACGTTAAATAAAAACCATTGATAAACCGTGATTTATTAAGAATTTACCTGTAGAAACTATTTGGCTTGGGTTGGTCATGATTCTTTTTTAATGGATTTTCAATGTATTATTTTTGCCCATACAAAATGTAAAACCTCTCGAAGTATGCCCTTGAGCAAAATGTCAAAATAAATTCCCCATCTGATGCACGATTGCAAACCCAGAAATCTCTTCATTTGTTCTTTTTTTCAGGATTGTTTGAGTGCTCCAAGTGACAGCAAATGGATTTATTTGGTAACCCTTTTCCCCATAAGAGTATAAACAATTCCCCCATGGCGGAGTAAGCATTTCCATTCTCCGGTGTATTATTTGGATATCAAGGCAGCTCCACTCCCGTTCCCGTACTACCACCCTCCCTACCGCTATACTACCAGTGTCCAGAGGGGATGGGGCCGCCCATGCGTGTGAGCTTAATAACATTTGTATACATTTTGTTTATATGCATTGTAATTAAATTCTTATCAGATGAAAATACACGGGAAAAATGTGACTCGGTTTTTTTTGTTGTTGTTGTTGATGTTTGCTCCAAGGTAAGAGGGGAGCAGCGACCCCCTACGGTAGCCAACCGGACTACGTGCCCCAATAATGTTAGTCCATCTGATTCTGCTGGGTGGCATGCAGGGGCAGAGGCTCTCAGCGCTGCAGCGGCAGGGGGAGCGCAGGGTTAAGAGAGAGCTCAGGGCGGACAGGTTGACAAGGGACCGTCCCCTTTTATTGGCCTGGAAAATTGCAGGTTGCTTTTCGAAATGGCTTGCAGATTTTCCATGTCAATTGTCAACGTTTACGGGCCCAAGCGAACCAACCACCAACCACCAACCACCACCCACTTTTGGGGGCGTTTTGTAGGGGCTTTGCTTGCTGTTATTTGTTTTTTTTTTTTTTTGTTTTCTTTTCGCGCCTTTTTGTGCTTTGATTTATTTTTTGAGCGCGTTTTGTGCGCTGTTTTTGACGCGCCGAACAGCAATTTTTGGCATCCACGCTTGATTTACGGTTAAATGTAGCGTGTTTCAATGCCTGTGTGTGTGTGTGTGTGTGTGTGTGACTGTGATTGACATGGGCGCATACCATACCAAATGCAAATGCAAATACAAAACCTAAACCTCTCCCACACAGTGGTACGTACAGTGGAAGACCTCTCGAATGGACATCACACATCAGCATTCCATGCCCCTAAGTTTTAGTTCTAGCCAAATGTAAAGGACAGGAACTGCGTGCGAACCGTTATAATATTTATTTGGTATCTTCCTGAAAGGATAGCTTTAAAATACATTTTTTGTTTTATGGCATGTGCTGTGTGCGTGTTTTGTTTGTGTTTATGAATTTTAAAGCTACCCTATCATCTGGCACTGCTGCTGCTGCTGGGACAGACACTCTCTCTTTAGTGTGGGGTCAGCGCTATGCCTTTAGCTTTGTGCTGGAGTGGAGCCGTACAAGAAGGGAGTGTCTGTCTGGTCTGGGTGGGTACCTTCTTGTAATTGCTCGCTGTGATGAATGTCAGTAGCTGTTTCTCCCCTCGCCCTTGCTTGGTCTTCTGTGTATGTGACATAAGAACTTAATTGTTTTGTGTTCAAGTGTTAGGGGGTGTGGAGTGGCAGTGCACTTAATTATCTGTGCCTGCGGATTTATCCTCCTCCTCCTCCTCCTCGCCGTCATCTATGGCGGAAGACTCCTCGCTCGCTGCTCCAAGATCGTCTCCAAGGTCGTCGTCGCCGTCGTCGTCGTCGTCGTCCGAGTCTAAGTCCGATGTGCTGATCGGAGTCTGACAGTCGTGTATCTCGCGTGTGAAAAAGATAATGGCCTTCGGTATTACTCTTTCCTTAATGTAGAAGCCCATTTGGAAGTCGCTCTGGAGCGTCGCATAGACTTCGGCGTATGTGGGATCGTCCATGCTTTCGGGCAGCTGCGGCGGATTGAATAGATCGAAGAAGGAGTTGGCCTCCTCCTCATTGGAGCTGCAGGGCCCATCAGTCCAGTCGATGTAGCAGCCCTTGGACTTGACGATCTCAGCGCCCTCGTACAGGAGGGGACTCTCTGCATCGGGCTCGCACTTCAGGTAGTATGTTTTCGATAGCACATCGTTTGAGAAGTACGGGTTCTTGTCGAAATGGAAGTAGATTTCAAATCGAGCTGGCTCGCTAAACATCCGTGCACTGACGTTGTTCAAGTACATCAGTATTTGCTCGTCCTTGTCGTTGATGAAATTGGCGTAGGAGGACTTCAGCACCAGCAGCCAGAAGATCTGCAGCTGGCTGGTGACCTGGCCATGCGGCTGGTACTGCTTGCGGATCGCATCCAGCAGCTTCTTGCGCTGATCAAAGAGCTCCTGGTACTTCAGCTGGTACTTCATCTCCAGATGGTAGATGTCACGCTGCATCTGGATGTCCAGCTCGATGGTATCCATGAACACTTCACGCAACTCCTCGACAACTTTGCTCTCCTCAGCGGTATACGTGTCGAGATTCTGCTCCTCCACCTTTACGGCAGCCGGAACGGTGTTGGCCGCCACTCGGGCCACTTGGGGACGCTCACTCGGTTGTGCATCCATTATGGTTCGATGCTCCTAGTCGAGGTATTTTTATTTTCACCAAATATATTCGACACTCGAAAATTTCAACACTTACTTGCACTTTGTTTTGTTTTCTGATTGTCAAATTTGTATTCCCAATTTATTTTCTAGGAATTTTCCGAGAGCTGGTGTCCGTATGGCACACAAAAACTGAATGAGAAATATGTGCCTGGATCCCGGACTTTTATACCCTTTTTTTAAGTCTCACAAATGTTGCATTTTATGGCATGCTTTATTCCAGGAAAAATTCAGAATTGTTGAAGCATCGATAGACGGCAGCTAAGTACTCGATACTCTCCGATACTCGAACACACTCGAACACCGAGGTGGTAACCTCCAAGTGCTGTGATTCTCCCTTTCCCTTCTACGAGCACGAATATTTTTTGCACTATTTAACAGTGGTTACCTCTTTCAATTTCCAGAGGTTTGAAAGTCTGTTGGAGGCACGTTTTTAGCGGATGTGCAGCAAAAACAAGTACTATCGATAGCAAGAAAAAGCGACACCAAAATATCGGTGCATCCATGCATCCGATGGTCTCCTCGCTATTTTGACAGCTGTCATTTTTTTTTTTATTGCATATTGGTTCTTCTTTTGATTAATATGACAATCAACCAAAATTCAGTGCGAAACCAGGAGCGTGCTTTGGCATCGTGGCCGGCAGTGGTCCACGCCGCGGCATCTTGACAGCTGGCAGGCAAGGCTACAATGCGACTGGAGCAGCGGTGATTGATGTTCGACCTGCTCGGGGGCTAGACGCCGGACTGCGTGCACTCGCGGCCAAAGCTCAAAGTGTACACCAACATATTAACGCGCAGGGTCAGAGCGCTGGGAAACCCTCACCACATGCTGCGTAGCCAGCTTTGTGGCACTGCCTGCCGCACTTCAAGGGCAATGGAGGAGCGGGCATGGCACGCAGTAGATTTGTGGCAGCCGCAGGACATGCTGTAGATCTCTACCAGCTATTCGGGAATGGAACGTTACGGAATACGCAATGTTAATGCTAACATTCTGCACTACCTTGCTGCCCCTAATGACGGGAACGTTGCTGAATCTGGAAATGTGATTGTCGTGGGTGCGTTGCATCCATGGCACTAGAAAGAAGTTCGTGCCCTCGCCACTACCGTGGACCGTGGCCCATCTGGGCAATGCCAATGACGAGTCTTGCAGCCATAGCTGGAGACAACATTTAAATGTGAATTATTACCAATTTAAGCAGCGCACAACTAAATGATGCCATAAAAAGGAACAAGGGAAAACACCAGCAAACCAATTATAAATAATAAATCAGCAATCAGCAAATAATGCAGAGAATGTTCCCTTGTTAAATAGACAAAGCCTCGAATAACCTGGAATCTGAGGCTCAAAGAAGTGACCGTGGCCACCCACTTCAATTCAATAGAATTTGCCTGTGCGCAGAATTTCTTGCATATTATTCGTTCCTGTTATTGTGTCTGCTGTCTCCTGCTGCCTGGCACGCGGTAAATGTCCGTTATTCAACGCCTACAATTATACCACCCCCAGGAAATCAAAAGAAAAAACTGAAAGACGTGACGGGACGGGGACGGGGTAGCAGTAGAAACCTTCCGGCAAATTGAATTGCAAATCAATTTGCCAACTGCAGTCCAGTGTCTTGGAGCATCAAAACTACCAAGAAGGACTACTGCCAAGAAGGATGCGCGCGCGGAGGGTGGAGATGCTGAAATGGATTTCTGGTACTTGGCTTTTTGCTAATAGTTGATCAAATAACTTGGCGAAAATCATTGAAAATCCATTTCCATTTTCTTACATCTCAAGTGTGCGCCTGCGCCTTTGCTTTTGCTTTTGCCTTCGAGGCACAAAGGATTCCATTCCTCCATCATGCAATTCGACTCTACAGGCTGGCTGGCTGTCCACAAATTTCAGTGAAAATTTATTTTGTGCAAACATTTTGTCAACTTCCAAAAGCCAATTACGAAATCTCTCTGGCTGCTCTGGCTGTGCTGTGCTCTGGCATTGTATGTCTTTCGATTCCCTCTGTGTGCTGTGTTTCGTCTAACAAGAACTCAACAATATACATGTATGCAGTAGGAGTTAATTTTCCATAAATGTCCCTGCAGCAGGGAAATTATTTCATCAGATATCTGCACTGGAAATGCCTTTGATTCAAATGCAGCCACATAAATACTGTCAAATGAAATGCAAAACCAAAACCAATGGAAAACGACTGGGGAAAATGTCTGGGGGGAAAATGTAATTAAAATGTGCATTCAGAAGTACTTTTGACAGCTTCTAAATGGCAGGGGCGGGGCACCTCTGTTGGCCAGCAACTAAACGCCCCACCCCCTTCCGACCACATAGAGGACGAAAATCTGTGAAAGCCACAAATTTAAGCTGTATACAAATGTATATACTAACTGAGTACGGGTATAAGTAGAGTCGCGTCCCCAGAAGCTACTCACACGTTCCTTCTCGTTTAATATTATTATTATTTTATTAATTTATTATTATTTATTTAATTGTAACAGTGACACTGAGTTTGTTTGGCTGTGATTTCTTTTTTTGAGTCTTCGTTAAAAAATTGTTCAGGTGACGTGGTAAACAATTGCATTTTGCTCCTCCAGTTGGTTTTTTGTGTGTGTGTGTGCGCGCAGTGTGTGGTGTATGTTTGTGGTGTTGTGTGTGTTGCAATTGTTGTTGCCACGTGACCAACAATTTATAAACTTTGGAATATTTGCTTTGTTTTTTGTTTTTTTTTGTTTTGTTTGTCGTGTAAAAAATCTAAAATTGCCAGCAGTCAGTCGCGAGTTAATTTCAGTTGCCCATTCAGCCAAATAGTTAGTGTAAAATTGTTGTCCAGTGTTAAATTGTTGCTTTACAAGTGTGTAACCTCATTGCCGGAATCCACGGATTCGCCGGAGTCGAAGCAGTCCTCTTCCGTGTCCAGCAAGGCCGGGTTACCGTACAGTGGCAAATCATCTGATTCTTCATCGTCTTCATCGTTTTCCTTTTCGGCATCGGACTCGTTTGGCGTATCCTGCTCCATTGGTTGCTGTGCATGGATAACCGAGGCCACCGAATCGTTACTGTCCTCATCGTCCGTCTCGCTGGACGACACTTGAACGTCCTTGATCTCGCCCGTGAAGTAGAACACGGCCTTGGGTATGACACGCTCCTTGAGGTAGACGCCAAACTGGAAAGTCCGTCTCTAAGGTGTCGTTGATTGCCTTATAGGTGGGATCTTCGGGGTCCTCGGGCAGCGTGGGTGGGCTGAAGAACTTGAAGAAGGACTCCTTGTACAGGGCCTTAAGCGTCTCCGACATCCAGTCAATGGTGCAGCCCTGCGTTTTATAGATCTCAGCGCCCTCGTAGCCCAGGTGCTCCTCGGGGTTCACCTTGCAATTGAGATAGTACGTCTTGCTCAGACACTCGTTGCTAAAGTAATCGTTCGACTCAAAGTGAAAGTAGATATCGAACTTGACCTCCGTCTGGGTGTAGAGCTTGCTGCGTATGTCCGTCAGGTGGCAGAGCACATTGGCATCCAGGTCTGTGATGGTGTCGGCGTAGGTTGCCTTCAGGACACGCAGCCAGAAGTTGGACACATTCTTGGCCAGTGCATCGCTCTTGTATCGCTGGCGTATGCCATCGAGCACCTTCTTCCGCTCGTCGTAGTACAGATTATGCTCAGCCTCCAGCTTCGCCTCCAGCCCATAGATGTCGCGCACCAGCTTGGTGTCCAGCGTGATGGTCTTGCCATAGATGCGTTTCATTTCCTCAATGGCCTGCTTCTCGTCGTCGCATAGCATGTCGTTGGTATCCTGGGCCTGCAGCCTCACACGGGGATTGCATACGGCTGGTTCCATTTCGGACAATTGGCCTTTTGGGGTTATTCGCCGAAATTAATATCTATTTAATTGCCTCAACAATTCATTTGTTACCTACGTTTGCAGTTTGCAGTTTCTCTTTTTTCTCACTAAATTGTTTTGCTGGCTTGTCAAACTTTTTGTTGTTTGGTGTTTTTTTTTTTTTGTTTGGTTTGGTTTTACAACACTTTTATTGAATGCCAGAAAAGAAAATTTACTTCTTTTTTTTTTTGTGTAGAAAAAATTTTGTTTTAGAGAATTTCTTGTTAGTTGTTCACTTATATTTTTTTGTTTGTTGGCTGGAGTAGATGTTGCTCACTGGGCATCAGAAATATAAGTGAGGAAAATACAGGCTCGGCTTGACTGTATGCCAAATTTGTACTAGTCCAGCGCCAACTATATTTTTGGAAAATATTAAACTTATTTGCAGGCCAGGTTTTTGTGCCGAAAAGGCCAACTAGATCATCAGTTTTTATGCCAAATTGTTTTGGACCATGACGTAGCAGAAGATGTACCAACAAAAAAAAAAAAACAAAAAAATGTGGCAAGAAAATTTGAAATTCGAAATTCGAAATTCAAATGCGTTTAATTTTGATGGCACCTTTGAAGAGTGGATGAAGGTCTGGACAGAGGCAGGGGCTAGCGGATAGCGGATAGCAGATAGAGGTCTACTATAAAATTCTTCCCCTCTCACTTTGCTTAATGAAAGGCAAAAGCTGTCGCCAATCTGCGGGCCAGCCTGCCCGCACCTTCTGTCGGCCTCATTTTATAACCGATTGAGATTCAGATTTAGTTGGAAGAAAGGTGCATAGAAGCAGTGGCAGGGGCAGGGACGGGATCTCTCTGTCACTGACAAAATCAATAAGAGCCTTGAAATATTTTTACGTTTTTTCAATAATGACACTTTGCACAGCAGCAGCAGCAGCAGCAGCAGCCGCCGCCGCCCCCACACAGCCTCTTAGGTATATTTTTACTCAGCTTTCCTCTCCTGTCTGCGTGCCTCTCTGCTGCCAGCCTTTGACTTTGGCATAGTAAAAAAAAAAATATACAGAAAATGGTTAAATAAATAAATACAAAATATTTGCACGCGGAGGTTCCATCACCTGTAACCCTGAGAGCAACAAAGAAGGGGTTCCAAAAAACCAAACTGTCACAGAGCGAATATATCTATTTATAACCGCCCACAGGAAAGCGTTCTTCGCAGCTGGAAATAGATATGGGCTTTGCGCATATATATCATTCATTCATTTGAACATTTAAGCCATTGAGAAATCCATTTGAGCCAAGGGGTTGCAACAAAATGAAAAATTATCTGCACGTCCTGCGTTGTCCTTGTCCTCGTCCGCGTTCTCGTTTTCGTTTTATTTTAGTTTGAATTGAAAATGTGGCACATTGTCGTCTGGTTCTGGGGGAAATAAATACTTAAAATGGCAACAACTCGAGAAAAGGATTTTAAGCTAATGAATATTAACAATGGCAA